CTTCGGCGTCATCGTCAGTGCCTTCCACCACAGCAACATCCCGATCAGCCTCTTCCTCCGCATCTGGAGATGCTTCGGGAGGATTTTGCTCGGCTTGTTTCGCGGCGGCGGCTTCTTCCTCGGCCTTTTTCCTTGCATCCGCGACGAGCCGATTTTGGGTGGCCTTGGAGTACGCCTGCATGTAGACCGGGATATAGGCAGCAGGCGGATTGATGAACATGTCAGAATCCTGACCAAGACCAACTTTCTCCACGGCAGCTTACCAGCCGCACTGGAAAAAGATGTCCTTGGTCGCTTGGACCTGCCGTTCATAGGTCTTCTCGCCCTGCGCGTATCCCCGGTCTTCTGCATCATCTATGGCCTTGTCCTTCTCGGCTTTGTGCGCATCGCGCAGTTTCCTCAGCTCGGCGAGATACCGAGCCTTCGTCGACTTCACGGCCCGAAGTTTGTCCTCGTTAGCTCGGTCAACCTTTTGGCTCAGGATATCTCGCTCAGCCTCAACTGCTTCCTGCGCAGCTTTAAGCTTCGCTATCTCGGCCTTTTGTGCCTTATTCTCAGCTATGGCATCCCGCAGGCTCTGCCGCACTTTGATCATTCGGTCGTGGGCCAAATAGTTCTTTTGCGCGGCCTGAAAACAAGTGAGAGATCGTCAGTATTCGAAAAACCGCGCAAAAACCAAGCAAACAGTTTGACGTAAAAAATGGAGAACTTACCAGCACTATGGATTTTGCCGCCGAGCGGAGGACCTTGAGGTCGGAAAGCTCGTCGTGTTTTTTCATATCAACGGGCAAGATCAACCCCTTGGTCAAATTGAAACCAAGCGAGTAGTCCTTGTCCACGTAGACAGAGTCTTCAGCAGAAACTGCTCAGCCCTGGTATTTGAACTCAGGTGCCCAGACCGGGGGGTGGCTGGGCCCTTGGATTTACCGGTCCGTGGTTACTTGGTCTGGTCCTCGAGCTCGGTAGAGACGCGATCGGTAGAGTCTTCATCCGCCAGACGCAGCCCGGTTTGCTCGTTCCTCGGCCGCTTCTTGGACTGACCAGCCAGTTGCTCGCTGGCAAGTGCCAATACTGCCCCTTCTTGCTGCACGGCGGGTGTGGAGGATGTCCCCCCGGTTGCCTCTAGTTTTTGGGACTCGTCTTCTTCCCCGGTGATCATGGACTTGATGGCCCTGATTTTCGCCATTTCTTGCTCGGTGGTGAGTGGAATAAGCCTGATCGGTGGTAGGTTTGGATTCGGTTCTGGGGTTGGCGTACACAGAAAATCGGTAACCTGGCTCTTGCGTGGCGCGGTGTAGTGGTAGGTCTGTTCGAAGCCGAGCAATTTCGCAGCCTCCCTCTATACTAGTGGAAAATTTCGGCCAGACCGAGATTGAGACCGAGCCTCCGGTTCAGCTCGGCGACCCCGTTTATTATTTTGTAAGTGTTATTTGAAACTTGGGTCGGGCAAAGCCTTGTCTGCCTCAAAAATTCGCAAATCAAGGGTTGAACCAGGAAGCGGAGCCCTCCCTCTACTATTGATACGACGGTAAAGGAGCACCAGTCTAGATCCCCCCAAGGGGTGTCTCCCTTTTTGGCGAGCTCTAAGACGACGTCTTCTGGGATGTTGTACTCCCTTCGAAACTCTGCTATCGCGCCGGGCGAGCTAACCATAAATCGGTACTTCCCCATTTATCTGGGTTTTATTTGGTTTATTGACTATCTTGGTCAAAAAGGATGGTGTATTTGCTTGAACCTTGAGCTCCACCAATGATAGTTCTGGACTGGCCTAAACGGTCCTAGTGTGTTCTGCATTATTAAAAATAATTTCCGAGGGTTAGCACGGCAAAAATTGCGCGGCTCTTATTGCAACTAGCTCAATGAAAGGGTCACTAGTGTTTGGCCGATTCGACCCCTACCTCGGCTAGGCTACTCGTCGATTTTCCTAGTTCGGTTATAACTCTCCGCATCTGGCTCGGTCAAGGCCCAAGAAGGAGATCCTAACAAAGTTATAGCTCGGTCGGTTCTACTTGACGAACTAACTCGGTCAAGGCCCAAGTAACGACCTCAAGTTTTCGCCCGGTTCAGTCCTATCACCGGTTTAATTAGTAGTTCGGCTCGACTACAGCCTCTACGATAAGCCACAAACCAGTTTTTGCTTGGCTGAAGTGTCATTTATGGATCTAAGCGAGCGTTTAACTCGGTTCTACCCATATTCAAACTGTTCATCCCAGAAATAGGATGAACTCGTTCGAACCCAGGAGAAACGAGGGGCATGAAAGCCCCATCCATTCCTAACGTTTTTGTTTGCCCTAGGGTGTGCAAGATCTAAGCAAGGAAAAGCAACTCTAATGGCCCCGAGTATAAACATGGAGAATGCAAGCACAAAAAAAATGAAAAACTTGAGGAACTCTAGTACGAGAGTTTGGAGAAAGGGTAGGTGGACTTACCAAACACCAGATGCAAGAGCAGGGCCTCTCGAACTTGGTTGTGACCTCACGAGAAACAAAAAATGGGAACGGAGGTAGGTGAGACGCAGCGGCAGTGAGGGAAAGTTCTCAGGGAATATGGGAACAAGGGTTTAGGGTGTGTGTGGAAGAGACGGTGAAAAGTGAAGGGTTTTAGGCCCTTCGTTGGAATACAAAAGAGGGGGGAAGGAACCCAAACGGCTGCGCCGTTTGAATTCTGCGCGTGCAGAACAGCTGGCTGCACGACCCAATGGCGTGAAGCCACGTGGCACTGGGAACGCGGCTGTCAGTACGGCTGTACGACCTTTGATGGGACTGCGGAGGAAATGGCCGACCAAACGGGACAGCTCGGCGATAGATATGCCCCCAATCATGTTCGGCTTGGTGATGGCGCAACTCATCCGTTAGCTCGGCCACGATGGTAACCCCAATCACGACTAGGTCGGATGGGGTTAAAGGGCAATTGAGAGGCGAGATTTGCGCGTTAGTACGGCCGAGCTACGATAACGCCGATCGTGACGAACCGCACGTCGCCGAGCAGATTCCTCTCTTGCTCAGCCCAACAGCCTGACTTGCGCGGCCGAAAAGGTCGAGCGACCAGACACGAACCAATGCCTGGCCGAGCTATAACGCGGCCGAGCGCGCAGCAGTGTCTGATGACCAAGCTAAGAGCAACCCGGGCTAGACTATGGACGCGGTTAGGGCCAGTGCGCTTCTGACCGACCAGCCGAGATAAGTGTTCTTCGTGTGACCGAGAATAAAGGTAATATGGGTGGAGGCCGGCATACCTCACAACCGGATTAGCCTAATGAACCTGTCAATATTAGCTCAGCCATGAGTATCGCCCTTCGGCTCCTTCGCAAGGGACAGTCCGGCGGTGCACAGCTCGGTTGAGTGCATGTAATGGCAACTCTCCACAAGTGATAGGCCGGTCGTGGTATTCTGGTTAAGCGTGCCACCTGGGCCAATGGCGTAAAGGATAGAGGAAACCCGTTCCAAGCATGCGCCAATACCGTTGGACAGTTCTGTGTGTACTGGTGGGAAGACTAAGCCTTTACACGTGTAAGGTGGTGAGAGGCGAACACTGCCACCTGTCCAGGGAAGGACAGCAGAGGTAATGCGCGCATAATCTTGAGACTGCATGGCCAACCTTGAAATATGGAGGAGAGCAAACGTTAAAGGTGTGGAACTTCTTCCCCAAAGAGATTACTCTCTATTAGTCTTCTTCTTCAAGTGGACTAACTTAATTGTCAGAGGATCTATCCGAACCGCCGAACAACTCACCGTTTCTGTGTTGCCAAATAGACGCCGTGAAGGGAAACTTGGAGTACAAAAAGTACGAAAAGCAGGTGATATTTTGCCCCCGTCCAAAAATCACATCATTAATAATTGTTTTAAAACATCATTTGTAATGATCTCTAACAATGCCATTTATTTAGTTGTATATTTTAAAAATAATTTTAAAATATAAAAATTTAAAATGATTAAATATTTTATTATAATTAAATAAATATATATGAAAAAAATAATTAAGAATAAGAGAAAAGAAAAAAACTAATTAATTGATTTATAAGAAAAGGACAATAACTTTGAAAATTTACTGAAAAAAATTTCCAATCAAACAAAAAAATTTAAACAAAATTTCAAAAATTATGTTTCGAGAGTTAAAACAACTTTACCTTTAATCATTTTACGTTATTATATCTTTTCAATGAACCTTTTTAACCCAACTCTCATCCCAACACCCCCAAAATTCGCATTATAGACCCCAAGCATTCTTATCAATTACATTAACCTTTGAACACCTCCATCGTCATATTCCTTTCTGTCATATATTGCAACTTCACCATTCATTCATAGTCACTCACTGATAGATCAATCAAAGGAAAGTATTTCCAGACTCCCAGTACATACAAAATAGACGCCGTGAAGGGAAACTTGGAGTACAAAAAGTACGAAAAGCAGGTGATATTTTGCCCCCGTCCAAAAATCACATCATTAATAATTGTTTTAAAACATCATTTGTAATGATCTCTAACAATGCCATTTATTTAGTTGTATATTTTAAAAATAATTTTAAAATATAAAAATTTAAAATGATTAAATATTTTATTATAATTAAATAAATATATATGAAAAAAATAATTAAGAATAAGAGAAAAGAAAAAAACTAATTAATTGATTTATAAGAAAAGGACAATAATTTTGAAAATTTATTGAAAAAAATTTCCAATCAAACAAAAAAATTTCAAAAATTATGTTTCAAAAAGTTAAAACAAGAACTTCAACACCCCCAAAATTCGCATTATAGACCCCAAGCATGCTTATCAATTACATTAACCTTTGAACACCTCCATCGTCATATTCCTTTCTGTCATGTATTGCAACTTCACCATTCATTCATAGTCACTCCACTGATAGATCAATCAAAGGAAAGAATTTCCAGACTCCCAGTACATACAAACACATAAAGTAAATTCAGCTGTATAAAATTCAGTCATAAAATTCAAATCCACGTTTGAAAACATGCCAAGTTAGTGAAATCAAACTAACTTAAAAACAAACACCAAATTAACACATCAAAATACTAGATTCAAAATCAAACATAATTCATTGAAGAACAAACAGATCTCCAATCCAAATTAACATTTTCAGTAGATTAAACTAATTCAAAACACAAGAACCTGATCCTAAAACAACACAATTTACAACCCCCAAACCTACCTTGACCAAACCCTAACAAAGACACCAGCGACAACTCAACCGCCAAACCCATAGAGAGTCCTCCCCTGCCTCTTCAAAGCATAGACGACATCCATGGCAGTCACAGTCTTCCTCCGAGCGTGCTCAGTGTAGGTCACAGCATCACGAATAACATTCTCAAGGAAGATCTTGAGAACACCGCGAGTCTCCTCATAGATGAGCCCACTGATCCTCTTGACTCCGCCTCTGCGAGCCAGACGACGAATCGCAGGCTTAGTGATACCCTGGATGTTGTCCCGTAGGACCTTCCTGTGACGCTTGGCTCCTCCTTTGCCCAAACCCTTGCCGCCCTTGCCACGACCAGACATTTTTCTAGAGAGAGAAAGTTACACAGAGTGGAAACTTCAAGGGCTTGAGCTAACGAGAAAGATGAGTTTGCAATGAGAGTGAAAAGAGGAATTGAATGATTTATATAGGGAGTGTTTGGGGGATTTGAAATGGTTGGGAAGAATGTGGAGCGTTGGATTGAGAGTGGGAATCGACGGATGAGTATGGCGATCCGTGTCGATCGATTTGAATGGTTTTTAACCGTTGATAAAGGTTGGATCGACGGTGGATGGTTCGTTGTGGTTGGTGTTCGCGGATTGTGCTTTTTTGGTGGGCTTCCATTGGAGAGGGATCATGAAATCGATGTGGTTAATTACATTGACACCCTCTATTTTTTTTTATTTTTTTTTTAGGCTTAGTTTGAGAAGACTAAATAAGTGTATTTTTTGACTTTTTATGAAATATGAGTTGGATTTGGATTGGGTTTGAAGTGATGTGTCAGAAAAATGATGTGACTTAAATAAAAAAATAATTTTTTAACTTTTTATCTTTTTTTTTCAATCTCTCTAAACTAGGCCATTGTCATCTCTTTAATTTCAAAAATTAAATTGTCGCCCCCTATCACTAATGGTAAAATGATTATAATACCCTGTTGATTAGTCAAATTTTATCTCCAGGCATTACCTCTGATGAATCCCTTTCACCATATTATTCCACCTTTTACATCTGAGAAATTTTATTTTCACACATAAAATTCTCTCATTTCATACCCCTAAAAAAAAAAACAGTTACCTTTTTATCTTAAAATAAAAATACTAAAATATTATTTTATCCTCCACATCCAAAAATCATAATTTCCAAGCCATCCAAAAATTAAATTTGTTAGTAGTTTGGTTTGGTTAGTCGTCTCATCTCCTTCACTTCAGGTGAGTTTGTTTATAGGGAATGGATCATCTCTGTATCCTTACTCTCTCATCCTACTTCTACTAATCTGACTGTTTTTTAACTCCACCTCTAACTCAAGCTCAAGTTCTTCTAAATATTGTTTACAGATATTTCATGTGCATTTTTTTTAATTAAAATTAAATATTAAAAACGATCAATGTAATGTATTCAAACTGAAAGAGTAGGATTGCACTACGTTCTAAAATAACAGGGATACATGTAGAGGTGTGATTCCAATATGAGCCATAGAAAAAGATTTGAGAGAGAGAGAAATGCATGTGGGAGGTGTGGGAATAGACTTGAGAAATAAGACCAAAATTGTAAGTATAACCGACGGCCTCCTCCCTTGATCGCCTTAGTAGAGGTATGAATTTAAGATTGGGTGACAGTAACTAGTTATGATCAGAGATTAAGGTTAGTTGTGGAATGATAAATAAGAGGATATTCCTGGTATAAAGGATTGTGTACTAAATAAAATAATTTTTTTCAAATTCATTAAGCATATGAACTGAGATATGATGTGCATAGAGATAAAAAGGTATGTGAAAATATAATTTCCCTCTACATCTCAGATAAAGTTGACAAACATTAAGTTGTGGTGAATTTGGCCCAAGTGGGCCCTATATAGTAAGAATATATGTAGATCTGACTCAACATTAGATTCAACTTAACCATCTCAAAATATGAGCTATGTCAAGATTTGTAACTAGATAATATAAAAATTAAAATTAATATTTTATAAATAGACGAGTCGAATCGGAACTAAAACTTTTTATCCCAAGTCCAAGCCAAAAATGAAATTGACGAAAAGTTTTAGTCCAACCCAACTCTATGGTTAAATATTTTTCTCAAAGCCTCCATGTAACACCCCGAAATAAATTACAATAAATCATCTATGACAATAACGCTATGTTTGGATTGAGTGATTTGGAGAGAAAAGAAAAGAAATGGAGAGATATGTATTTCTTTTACTTGTTTGGATAACCTAAGTGGAGAGACATGAGAAGAAATAGAGAGAAACTCATTTATTTTATATGCCTCATTTTCAATCTTCCAAAAAATGAAGAGATTGGAAGATAAAAGAAATCACTACTTTCATAATACCAATTTTGTCCCTATAAAAATAAAAGAAATAAAATGATTGAAAATATAAAAAGGTTATTTTGGTAATATAACATAAAATAATTTATTTTATTTTCTCTTAATGAAATCTAACCAAATAAGAATGAGAGAAATCACAAACATTTCTTTTTTTTTCTTTTCTCTTGTAACTTAAGTAATTCTTTCTTTTCTTTTCTCCCCTAGGTTCCCAAACATAGTGTAAGTAAATAACAACCTAATCAGGATAGAAAGTTCTTATAATACACAAGACTTAGTTGTACAAAAGAGTGACATATGCGAATATACATTCATAAGACCTAACCTTAAATCTATAGCATATGCCAACATCAAAAGGTGAAATAGAAGTTATACAAATAACTGAAATGCCCTGAAGGCTGCAACTATCCAAGGCTGTGCTTGGTTACATCAAAATGGATCTATATCCAATACATATAAAGCCCTAGGCTTACACAGACTGATTACAACAAAGTAAGCAAAATGAAGCTCTTGCTCCAATCCTCCCAAGCTACTGCCTTGGCGAAGGCATCTCACCAACACCTAAAAATGGTTTTCCCATATAAGGTGAGTTAAAGCTCAGTAGAAATAATCCAACACAATATATGAATCTTAACAAAGATATAAAGATGAAATACATATGCAATGCTCATATTAAAATGTATTACATTTCTTTCTCAAAACCATGCCATGCTCAGTTTATACCACAATTTTGAATTCGTATTCTTTACAATAGAAAACAAAGGGAACTCTCAATTGGTACAACCTTTCACGGATATTTTGTTCGCAAAAAATCGTCAAACAGCACCCATGTAAACGTAGCCTATACAAGCGCTACTATTGCCATTTTATGAATATTTCGTCCACGGGAATAGGCACCCATGTATACGCACGTTTTTTGGGACTTTCACCCAGGACATAAGCGAACTTAATTTGGTGATACACACATCTTTCCAACGTTCACCCTTTTTTCTCAAAATCATATATATTTTCAATGTATTAAATGAGAAACAATGTTCAATGCATATGGATGAGAAAATTAGTTTTAGTTCACCTAATTCTCATGCTGTTTATACAACATTCATAGTTATCCTCCACCGATAGCCCAAAACAGATATCTCTAATAAATAGAAATTTTCAATAATAATACACATTTTCATTATTTCCAAGATGTGAGCGATATAACATATCCAACTCCACTATCATCATCAATATCGTCCATCACCGTCATCAAGACGTGAGCGATATTACAAAACCAACATCATCTTTCAATATTTTTCCAACACAAGTCAAACCCTTGGTTTTAGAGCAAAGCAAACCTTGTTTTCTTTCAAAATCATTTTTGAGTAAAGAAAGACATCATTCCAATTACATTAAACCCAACATCATTTTCATTATCTTTACAAGATCAATATTTGAGATTTCTAGGGCAAAATCTAATTTTTTCTTTACAAATCATTTATAAAGGTAAAAACCCATCACTTCATCATAGGTTAACAATAAACACCTTTTTACAAGCATTTCCAACAAACCATTTGAAAACCCGACTTTTTTATTTTCAACCAAATCCTAGATTGGTCCAAAATCTCAAAAAATCACAATATTGTTTTAGAAATAACAAATAACTAAGTTAAAATTCATAAGAGGATGCGAATAATCCCTACCTCAAACTTAGAAGAGGAAGAAGGAAGAAAGCCCAAAAAGTCGATGGAGACGAAAAGACGATTTACTCTGATCAAAACGAAGCCTTCGACAAGCTCTACACTTAATCTCAAAGAAGCAAGGAGAAGAAGTGTTTCCAAAGGAGTAAATCTAAAGATCTTTGCGCGAAAAAAGTGAGTTTAAAGAGAGAAAAAAGGGACTCACGGTTTAAAGAGGAAAAACATAAGAAAAAGTGAAGAAAATGGTAAGTGAGGGCCCTATTTATAGTTCTAGGTTAAAGTAGAATAAGGTCCCAAGTCAACCCAAAAGAACAAGTCAAAATCCCCAATAAGTAGGGCTCAAAATTTAACTAAAATCTAAAAAAAAATTCTCAGGGGTCGACCTTTGTGTAGGTGGTGCCAACCCTTTAGGAATAAATGACAATGTTGGTAGCAGACAAGGTGTCAACCCTTGGATTAGAGGTGTCGACACTAAATTTCAGCAACCAAACCCAAATTCTGTTGTATACAAGGGTTGACCCTTCCCAGACTGGTGTCATCCTTAAGGCCAACAACAAAAGACAAGTGTCGACACCACCAAGGCTGGTGTCAACCCTAAATTTCAGTAGTTATTCCAAGAACATAGCAGCAAGATGGTGTTGACCTTTCCAACATTGGTGTCGACCCTTGGAGCTTAACAAAACACAGATAAAAGGGCAATGTCAACCCCAACAAGGGCGGTGTCGACCTCCGAAGCCAAAACCAAATATAAAGAGAAAAGAACGACCATCACAAATATGGTTTTCCGGATTCAAAAACAATAAATGGATTGGGTCTAAGCTTGGATCACTATAACACAAATATCATATTGGAATAAATGAGTTAGTCGGACCACCAGGCTTATGGCTACCTCTAATCTCAAACTACCTTCTCTACTTCTATTTCCACATTCATCGTAAACTACTTCTATTACTCTCGCATTTACATTTGCCTTGAATCACCCTTTCACACTAGCACTTCTACTTCAAACTGCCATCGTTCACAGGGCACTTCCAACTAAAACACCATTTCACACCCTAGCATAGAATAAGAGATAATAGAGAGAGAAAATTCACAATCTACCCAACTTGAAATATGGAATGTGTTGTGTATTCTATACATTGAAACCATTAATTACGTAGTTTTTTTGGTACTTTTTTTATGAGTTCATACTAGAGGTGATCATAAATGTGTCCAACTAGCCTCACCTGCCCAACTTGACTGATTTTTTACGGATGTGTGTCTTTTAGCGGACAAATGAGGGTGAAATATTTCAAAATCTATGGATACAGTTTGAATGACAGATCAACCATCTTGCACCCATATGAACTCGATTTGTCCGTAAATGAATTTAAAAAAAAAATAAAAATTGCTAACAAGTAACAACATAGAGCAAAAATAATAAAATATATATTTTTGTGAAAATAAAAAACAATACCTTAAAGATATGCATGCATGGTGCCATGGCCTGTTATAGACAAATAATTCATATTATTTCATATTACTAGTTATTGGAGATTGTAAAAGTAATAAATTATAATTCAAAAAAAATGCCCAATAATTTTAAATTTCAAACTGCCAAAGCAATCGTATCCATTTGCTAACCTGCACGGCTCGCTCAATCCGCATCCGCTAAATCGGTGAACGGATGCGGATTGATTTTTTTTCAAACTACCTAATTTTGAATAAATAGCAAATGAGTTCACATATTTTTTTAGTAATCATAAATTTTAAATTTAAAAAAACTTAACTCAAAATAGACAATATTATTACATTTTTAAATAAGAGTGTTAAAAAGTATACATATTTTTAAAAAATGGTAGATTTTTAAAAAAATTGTCAAATATTTTACACAACATTTATATGAGTACAGTATGAATATTGTGCAGAATATTTGATAATTTGTTTGATATCCTTAATATTACTCTTATTTTTATTAAGGCCAAAACTTCTCTCCAGTCCAGAGGCCCACTACAAAATCCATATCGATAATCCGAACCATTCGATGTTTATGACTCGTCGAATACTTCATTCTTGTAAAAATTCACGTTGATCGAATATCAATAACCACTTGATCAAATTAAATTTGTATCAACAGTAACTATGATTTTAAAATAAGATGTTTACATAAATGTGATATAATCAAGTGACTATTTATATTTGATCAAAGCAATTTTTTATAAGGGTGAAATACTTGACAAGCTCTACACAATTGAACGATTTGAATTATCAATGTGGACTCTGTAGTGAGCCCATAGAGACCCAATGAAACTCTTTAGTTGAGAAATCAACTAGAGAGAAGATGATTCTTTTTATTAAATATATCTATATAATAAAGTAGGATTGTTTTTGAATTTATCTTACACACATTTGTCTTATTTGGACATTTGAACTGTTAGGATTCATTTTTGCTTAAGGATGGACGGTAGAGATGATAACCTTCTTTCTCACTCTACCTCAATTTTTTGCCCAAGAGCTACACTTCAAAAACAAACTTAAAACTTTACAACCACCCATCCTAATCTGTCTCACCTCACTTCAAAACACACACACCCACTATCTACAGAAGAGAGACCCATCCACCCACTCTCTATAGAAAAAATATCCACGCTCATCGAACTTTCTCTATAAGCTCTCTCTCTCTCTCTCTCAGCCTTACTTTCCATTGGTACATCTCTCTCCGACCGCTCAATGGTGTAACTGTTTCGATGCTGTCGCTTCTAGATCAAGATCTACCACCACCGTCGGTCGTGAGATCCATAGCTCTGACACACTCCTCTTTTACTACAACATACAGTTAACTGATGATTTCACCAAGTTCATCGGTGATGGTGGTGGACTGATCTTCACCGTATTTATGCGTTTCTCTCAAAGCGACGGAGCTTCGCGCCATCGCATATGGCGGTTGGACCCAGATCGACTTCCCTCTTCATCACCTCAACGATGTGAAGCCACACAGAGAGTTCAAGACGACAAGGACGTCTCGCTCACCATCTCTCTGCCATGCCGACGCTTGGTTCTCGGAGATCACCATCCATAAATTTCCCAATTTTTGAAAAAAACTCTCTTCATAATCTGTCTGGGTCGCGAATTGACAATACCCACATATTTGTGTTTTTTTGAAATTTGTCAAATGATGTTTTTATTGTGTGCAAAGGGTTTGAAAAGAACATTGACAAGATACGAATCATAATCTGCCAAACTTGCAAGGTTGTTTCTCTTTTTGATTATTTATTTTTTGGGTTTTAATTTTTATTGATTAACCAATAACAAATTTTGTATATAGATGTATAAGCTAATTTTTTTTATTATTAATAGTTAGTATAGAGTATGTGTGTGTTCAAATTGTGAGATGGATTTTTATATTTGGTTAAACATCACTGGTTAGAGTTGAATTTTTTATTTAAAAAATGCAGATTGATGATCTAGTACATATTTGTATATTTGTCTATTTGTCTTACTAGGACATTCAAGTCCCCATTTTTGCTGAGGTAAAAATGTAGAGAAGAAGAAAGATGGGGACTCGAATGTATATATACTAGTACATATTTGTGTAGCTGTCACCTATTCTCTCTATCTCTCTCTCTACAAATCAAGCAGGCTTTGTTGTTGGCTTTGGGGCAAAATCTTTAGGGGGTCTTTCCTTCATCTCTCTATGCCTTCTCTATTCTATTTATTATATATATATATATATGTATTTGTTTGTATTGTTTAGAAAACAGATGATGAAAAGGATGGTGGTAGTGAGAGAGAGAGAGAGAGAGGAGGTGGGGATTTTGGTGGGTTGATTTTTTGATAATTAGGTTGGGTTGATTTTTTATTTATTAATTAAACTAGTCATAAAAAAATATAATAAATTAATAAAATAAAATGTCATATTTAAATCATAATTTTTTTCCCTCATAATTTTTTTTAAAAAAACAACTCAAACAAATTTTTTAATCTACACTAAAATAATCAAAAAAATCAAAAAACTTTAAAACCAATCCAACTTTCCAAACGAAGCACGGGGTTTGGCAAGGTTAGCCATTGGGTCGATGACGGACGGTGAACCAACAATACCTGGTGTTGACACGTGTTTTCGTATAAAAGGAAAAAAAAATACACTCACACACTTATATTCTAATCTTAACATTATTTACATTGTGCCTTCAGGCACAGACATATGCTAGTATATATATATATATACATATATTAACAACATTAGATGGTTGACTATATAAACAAATCTCGGAGTCATGTGATTTCTTGGTATTATTTTTGTTCTCTAATTTTTATTTTATAAAAAAATAAAAATAATGAAAAAATTTACAACGCCAATAATCATTGAACAAAAAATAAAAAAGGTTGAGCACAAAATTTTGAAAATTTCAAAGTATTGATTCGTGTCAAACAAATCTAAAAATAATTTATCAAGCAAACTTACTTTATTTTTTGGAAAGTATAAACAAAAATATAAAAATAGCAAAAATAATACCAAATAAAAGCTAGTTTAGGCCTGACCATTTGATCAAATGGTGCTTAGACATTAAGTAGTTGTCGACAAATTTTGGGCTTGTTGTTTAGGCTGGGGCATGCTGTTTAGGTCGAACCAACACTATATTTTTGTAACAACCCCGTTATGTAGCTCGAAAACGGAGAGCTCGAATGGCTCGATTTTTTTTTTTTAATTATTTTTCTTTTTCCTTCATTCTTTCTCTTCTTCCTTCCCTCTCTTTTTCCCTCTTCTTCTTTTTTCAGTTCTTTGAAATCTAATGTTTGGGTTTGTTGAAAAAGCCTCACAGCGGTCTCTCTCTCTCTCTCTCTTTCTTTCTTTCTCTTCTTCCTTCCCTCTTTTTTTCCTTCTGGGTTTGTTGAAAAAGCCTTAGACATTAAGTAGTTGTCGACAAATTTTGGGCTTGTTGTTTAGGCTGGGGCATGCTGTTTAGGTCGAACCAACACTATATTTTTGTAACAACCCCGTTATGTAGCTCGAAAACAGAGAGCTCGAATGGCTCGATTTTTTTTTTTTTTAATTCTTTTTCTTTCTCCTTCATTCTTTCTCTTCTTCCTTCCCTCTCTTTTTCCCTCTTCTTCTTTTTTCAATTCTTTGAAATCTAATGTTTGGGTTTGTTGAAAAAGCCTCACAGCGGTCTCTCTCTCTCTCTTTCTTTCTCTTCTTCCTTCCTTCTTTTTTTCCTTCCGGGTTTGTTGAAAAAGCCACACATCCCTCTTTCTCTCTCTCTGTCTCTCTTTCCTCTCAAACCCAAGGAAGAAAAAGAGGAGATCAAAAAAATAATGGTTTAGCCGAAGATCTACAGCCAAAATCAGCACACAAAAAATCAACACAGTTTGTAAAATCAAAATCAAAATCAAAATCACAGTTTGCAAAATAACCCAAAAAATCACAAAAAAAATAAAAATAAAAATCAAAGCAAAATCAAAACAATTGAGCCGAAGATCAAGCTTCGGCCTCCCCGTCCATGGTAGATCAAGCTTCGGCTTCTCTTCTCTTCCTCATTCTCTCATTCTCTCGCCTATCTGTTTCTCTCTCGCATATCTCTTTCTCTCAAACCAGTTCAAGAAAGAAGGAAAAAGAAAAATATATATAGAGAGAGAGTGTGTGTCAAAATGACGTCGTTTTGACACTCGAGGCATTCGAGCTGCTCAACTTTCGAGCTACCATGAATTTCTCATTTTTGTAATCGGTTAAAAGAGTTCAAAAACTAAAAAATCATTAGAAAAAAAAATCAAATCTCATCTTTACTTTTTTATAAGTTTTTTCATAAAAAATATAAATAAAATTAACTAAAATAGTCAATTCCCAAAACAACTGTGTATCCCCCAATTTGATCCTAGCCGACATCAAATTTAATCGAGCTATTCCAAACTCGATCCTAAAAAATTGTCTAAATTGCAATCTACTTAACCCAATAAATATAAGAAAAAATTAGTGAAACATCCCTTTTTAATTTTGTGTAATAAGAGAGGTTAAAGATTTTTTTTATTAAGTATGGTCTCTAGATGAATTTCTTTGTGTCAGGCACAAATTTATTTAAATCGAATTTTCTATGTGAAAATATTGAGGAACCAAGACTATTATGAAAATATTATATATTTTTTATCTTATAAAAACTTAATATCAGGAATTTAAAAAAAATTATCCTTAATATAAATTATTTAGTATTTTTTATTTATCTTGAAGGGCTAAATAATTTTTTTTCTAAATCTTTAAAAAATTATTAAACCGGGTAGGGCAAACCATCCCCATCCCCTAGTAGCAACAAACAAGTACATCTTGTATTATTAGGGCAAACCCGACCCGGGCCAAGTCCATTCTCTTACGAGCATTGTGAGCCGCCAGGCGCTGATTCGTGAATTGTTGTGATCAAACTTGAGGAAGCAAGCAGTGAAGCAGAGAGAGAGAGAGAGATGAGGAAGTTCGATCCGTGGCCCGTTTTCTTCCGGCGAGAATGGAGTAGGAACTGGCCGTTCTTGGTCGGTTTCTTCGTAACCGGTACTGTCATCACCAAGCTCTCTCTCGGTCTCACCGGTACCGTCTCTCTCCGATCATATTTCAAATTAATAATCAAGTTTTTCCATAACCTAACTTGTTAATCTAATTACTATTCGATCCGTATATTGCAGAGGAGGATGCGAAGAACTCTCCCTTTGTGCAGAGGCACAAGAGGTGAATCTCTCACTTTTGCCCTAATTTCCATCGAATTCTCCTAATCCCTTCCTTCTACTGCTTCTCTTATTCTATGTGATTTTAGATATATGTGCAAAATATACATATTTGTGTTTGTTTGTTTGCACTTTCACACCTGTGTCCGTATGTCATGTCGGGCATTGCTATACAATGCCAAAAATTAGACAATTTTCAAGCCCAATGATGTGGCAATCAATTGGGATAGGAACACTCTCTCATATCTTCTCAATCATCAACCAGTGATATCAATTACATCATTAGATCTAGAAAATAGGTCTATAAAACTTGTATATCATTTTCCATGTCAGTAATATATATATATAGAGAGAGATCTAATCTCTCGTTGTTCCTCAGTAGCTCAGTTGTAGAGCAGTCGTGTCGGCTGTTAACTGATTGGTGGTTGGTTCGAATCCTTCATTTCCATTCTGTAGCATTTGAAATTTCCCATTTATCTAAAAACCCATTATTGGTTCATTCTTCATTGAATTATATAGATGATCTAGTAATAATGGAATTTTTATTTTGTTTAAACATATATGCCATGGTTCCTTACTTTGACATGGTACAAATATCTAAATTTGATATTTTTAGATACATTGCAGACCTATTGTATTGTCGATACTAAGTGGCAGTAACAAATTTGTATCGATTTTTCATGATAATATGCATGGATCAGATATATCATGGTGAGTTCTTCAGAAAAAAATGGTGTCTATATATGGGGATAAATATATATATGCATAGATGGATAGAGAAGGGCAACCCAAATGCACAGAGAGATTGTTTCTGTGACTCAAATCTGCAATTTGTATGCATAGATAGATGGATGGCTAGTTATAGATAGTTGCTCACTTGCATACAACAATATATATATCAAACTGCATCGCTACTGGGTTTTTAATTAAAATGAACAGCTGAAATCTGGTGCATGTTTTTCTGAAAGATTTTGGATCTAGAGTTCCTATTAATAGTTGAAGTGAAAGCAACTTTTCCTTTGAGTTAGCATCTCTGGATGTGATTGTCTCATACGAAATCATATTGATTATTTGATTGTAGTTAAGATGTGTTTTAAAGGAAGAAGATACTAGTTGTGAAAGTAACTACAAATATAATTTTTGGTATAGTCTTTGGATGTTTTGTTGGTTTGGGTTGGGATTTGATTGGTGGTCTCAGATATGCGCAAGTTTAAAATTTGTGGGATTGGTAGCAAATTAGGTTTGATAGAGCATGCTAAGCAATGATGTAGGATGGTGTGATTTAAGGTGGTGAAATATTGGGGAGATGATGATTGGGGATGGTGTTGTATTGTCTCTAAGCCTCTGAACAGGTGGATGACTGGTGTTCTGAGAATTAGAAATGCAGAAGATAAAATGGCATAAAATTGATTGAGATGGTATGGCTTTGTGTAGCATAATGTGCTTGTAACGAGTAGTGATTTACTAGAGGTTGAGTGTTAAAAAAGCAAAAAATAAGAAAAAAAGAAGTAGAAAAGAAGGCCATGAAGAATATGGTTTGAGACAAATAAGAAAGGACACAATTGCCTTAACAACTGGAGATTTGGCTTTTAATTATGTTGATTGAGGAATGGATTCATGTGGTTGATGATCTTAAATAATTGGGGGCTACAGCTTGTTGGGTTGAGTGGCTTGAAATTGATTAGTATTTTATATATTTCAAAGAGTCTGCAAATGACAAGCTGTCTTAACACTTAATTTTGTAAATTAGCTTAGCTGCTTTTGCTTCCCTATCTTACTGAATTTAGGTGACTATGAAAGTATTTTTTCTTTTCACATTCACTCAATATCTCCTCGTGCTTTTAATGGATTCCAAATAGCACTATTCTTTGATGGGCTAATCTATAGCTGCTCATTCACCTTTCTAAATTTGGGAGCTTTAGGCTGTGTTTAGATCTTGAATTTGAGGAAGGATTTGTGGAGGAAAAAGAAAAAGGGGAAATAATTTAGCTTGTATTTCATTGACTTTTCCTTCCTTTCATCAAGTGTACATCTTGGATGCCATAGGTTTGTACTTATATCAACTGATTTTGAGATTATATATGTTTTTGTTTTTGAGTTGCGTATTCACTTATTTTTGCTTTTTGATAGACATCGCCGCTGTTTTGTAAATAACAGAGACCTTATTGGCATTTTTAGGCTGTTACTGGGTTTTTTTTTTTTTTTTTTTTGGCACATGCTGGGTTTTTTTTTTTTTTTTTTTGGCACATGTTAACTGGTGAAAAAATTTGGTCTTTGCAGGTAAATTTATCAATGCTACATGCAGAAAGGAGTTCAGCAATATGATTTCTTTTGTTGGAATTGAATGTCAAATCTGTTGGCATTTCTATGTTACCCAATAATGACTGAATGTTTTAAAAACTGAGCACTGTAATTTACTTTGGCTACCCATGAAGAATATATGACTTCCATTAATTTGTGAGATCAATGGTTTTTGGGTTTTATTTGGCTCTCTCTGGAGAATAGGACTTGCATGCTTCCAGGTATAATGCATCAAATCAAGAATTACAAAATGCAAATATAGACCAGGAAAGACGTAGGGGAACCTCTGTGTGGATCTTATCCTGACCTGAGACCCATTTCTACCACATGAATAGTCAAAGAGACTAATTGTGTGATAGAGAGTTGACTTAAGATAATGGAGAAAAGAGAAAATGCATTTATGGCATAATCATGTTTATTAAAATCAAGGTCCGGATTGTAGGTCTACAATCCTACATTGTTAAAATAATCCAAAATCTTTGTAGGATCGTTGATTTTATGATTTTTTTATCTTATTTTTAATAGAAAGTAAGATTTTATAATTCTTGATCTGATCCACGAGACATTCTAACCAATCCTACTTGGGGTGCTGATTTTAACAACATTGGGATTCTATTTGGTCTTTTTCTAAGTTATTCGAAATGTACATGACTATGATGTGTATGGATTACCGCTTTTTGAAAAATGATTTGCAAATGAAAAATAAAAAGGAATTATACAAAAAACACACTTAAAATGATGTCTTAACCATATTTTTGAAATTATGAAAATAATGGTGAGTGTTGTGATAATAAATGAAGGAATCATAGATATAGCGATCCCGAATTTACCCTTGTTGTACAGTGATCCGGACATGTGTCCGTGGATGTTGGTAGTTGATTATTATCTTGTTTACATCCTTTTTACTTCGTATTTGAGTTGTAGGATGTGTTGGACAGGTTTGTTACAGGTTGGTTGAGTTTAGAAACCAAAACTAGCTGCCCAGATTTTGACCTGTCCGCTCGAGCGGGGGTTCTGGCGCTTGAGCGGGAATTGCACCCATCTAGTATTTCCTGTGCAGTGTTGGACGCTCGAGCGTGGAGTTGGCCGCTCGAGCGGGGTTGTGTGACTGCCGCTCGAGCGGGGAGTTGGAAGCTCGAGCGGAGACCTGGTTCTGTAAAAGTTCTGGGAGTGTGTATCCGCCGCTCGAGCGGGATTGTTGACGCTCGAGCGGGAGTCTGTGAGTGACGCTCGAGCGGGGTGTTTGACGCTCGAGCGGGTCGACTGGGTTTAAGTTCCGTGTTTTGACTTTTCAAATCACTTTTTCACTTTCTCTTCTCTCTCTTACTTTTCCAAAAACGCCATTGTTGAGCTTCTCACTCTAGAACTCTACCTTCTCTCTAGGTTTTGATCTAGTAGAAGTGATTTGCTCATCTTTGGCCTTTACAAAAAGTTGTTGATCGTCGAGGGCTACATTTTAATCTGAAAATTTCGGGATTTGGAGCACGTTGGGTTTTGTCACCTTCTCCTTTGGGGCTCCGAATTTGAGGTAAGAAAATGATCATCTAGTATTTTTGCAAAGTGTTTGAACTTTTGGGAAACAAGTTTTACCACTTGAGCGGTGAATGTTGCGCTCGAGGGGTCAACCTATATGTTTCGTACCACCTTTAGTCACACCGATCAAGTGGTGAAATGTGCGCTCAAGCGGTTTTCGCGATTCAGTTTACTATAAAGTGCGCAGTTCACTATTTTTAGGGTTGAAGTCGTCCAAAATCTTAGAGAGAAAGAAAAGAAAAGTTGGTTTCTATAAGAGGCTATTTTATATGAGTTTCCTTGGTGTATAGAAGGTGATCGACTGATCAATGAACTTTAGATAGTAAAATATCAAGGGTTGTTCTTATTGTTTCGTTCACAAAAGAGAGAGTTGTTCTTCGGTGGATTCTTGGGAGCTTGGGCCTGAATCTTTGGTGGATTTTAGAGTGGCTCATTGTCGTGGATTTGACATTAGCGTTGTGGATTCAACATTGGGCAAAATAATTCCGAGGTGAAGACGATGACGGAAGAGGCACATCAGGTTCAATTCAATTCGGGTTGTATAATTCCTTTTTGTCTTTTTAGTAGATTGTTTTGTGATTTTGGCCCGTGATTATGTACTCCGCGGTTTAAGGGAAGATAGGGGATGGACCTCTAAACCGGATGTTGTTGGGAGGAGATAGGGGATGGACTCCGTAGATAGAGCTCATATGCTTATCTAGTACTGTGTTGACAGAGCTCATATGCTTGTCATTGGGAGTGTGATAGTGCTCATATGCATATCTGTGGAAGTAGTGATATAGCTTGTATGCTTATCTGTTGTTGTGTGATATAGCTAGTATGCTTATCCATTATGAAATGGGAAGTGTTTGATATGAGTTACTGTCTCATATGAGTTGTTTGGCCAGGTTCTGAGCCATGGTTGTAAAGTGAGAATTGAAAGGAATTGGAAAATGAACTGTAATATGGACTTGTATGTCATGAAACCGTAAAATGTGATAAGGGAAAATATCTGTATTGGCCATCTATCAACTGCTAATCTTTTAGTCATTGTTCATATTTGGTTTAGTGTATTTCTACTGGGCTGTGGCTCACCCTATATGGGAATATCATTTTCAGGTACAGGTAGCATGCCACCTCTAAGGTCATAGCTTGGGAGTTGGTTATTTCATTTGTCAATGAATGTTTTATTTGATGGGTTTAATGTTATTTTTTTTGAGAGCGTTACAATAGAAGTCCAATTATTATGTATCAAAATTTTGTATAAAAGTTATGCTGGTATATCATTATTTTCACTCTCTTAGTTGTGTGAAAACCACCCCTATAAACATAACTTTCATTATAGGTTGTGTTTTTTATAAAGGGATTTCAGGGAGGTAAACAAGGTAAAATGGTTGGTAAAATCTGATGAGTAGTGGTGACCTTGAGAGAATAAAAAAAGACTAGCACGTATACAGTGCAAACAGCAACCGTCTGAAGCCTGGACGAAAACTGGGAATTGCACAGTAAGTGAGCATACCCTTTGTACAGTTTCCTATAATTTGAAGTAGTTGAACAACATTCGAATCGTCACAGTTCGCTAAGGTTGTGTTTAAATCATGAATTTGGTTTTAGGCAGAGAAAGGAAAAAAGTGAATAAACTGTGAATGAAATATACATTTTATCGATATTTTACTTACTTTTTCGCTTTCCCTTCTACTCAAATTTATAAAACACAGTCTAAGTTCACCCATAAAAACGTTGAGAATTATTTCATTGAGGGGTAGAAGAACAAAAGTAAGAACACATCAAGAATATGTAAGTAACATTTTATTCATCCTTATGAAATGATGAAATTCATAGATTATTGACTCCATGAATTCCATATATCATTTCCAGAGCCAAGCATCACAACCTGTATCTCTGGCACCCCATATATCATTTCTATGATCATCCCCTACATGAACAGCATCCTCCGTTCTACTCGCAATAACTCACAAGCTTAGAAATATGGTGGGATTTGGCTTCTCTGCTTCAACCTGTTTGAGAGAGAGAGCAAGCGAGAGATTGAACAATGGCAAAAATAAATAAATAAAATAATAAATAAATAAATAAAATAACAAAAGGGGAAAAACAAAATGACACTTCAGCTGAGACTGGCATAGCATCAAACCAGTGATCGCAATTCAGAGCCTGCAAGAGAGGTCTTAATTGAGTGTCAAAGTTTGACACAACAGCCAATTTCATGCCTTCACTTCTAATTGCCTTGAATACTTTTTCAGCATCCGGATCACAGAGGTGCCACGCCTTTGGATAGAAACAAATGAAAATATACTTAGAACTCAGATGGTATTGTGATCAACAGTTGCAATTTAAGACTCAAATGACATAGCAGATAAGGTTTGATTAGCATTATGGAGGTATTTGTCTCACTATTCATTCCAAGAAAAATATGAAGATTTGCATTCAATAGAAAGTAAATCAGTTAAAAATGGTAACCAATCAATGCTGCAAACCAAGCTAACTTTTCAGTGGTATAATAGTTGTACAACTCCTCGAAGTATTGAGAATCTGAACAGCCAGTTGAAGAGCTGACAATATATTGCCAGAACGGTCTCCCATCATTAACATATCTGCAATTTAATAAGCCTATCTTTGGAAAGTGAATTTGAAAAAAAAAAATCTTTCACAAACATAAGGGAGCAGAAATTTCACCATTGAAACAAAAGGGATAAAAAAAAAAACTTAGAAAGTACTTATTTTATATATATAAATGTCCAAGTTTTTTTATAATTCTAGAAATAAAAGAAGCCGCATTGAAGCCCATGAAGACCTTCAAAATTCAAATTCAGAAGTCTATAACCAGATGCGAGCTTGACAAGAGATAATAAAGTAATTCCTGTTAATAACAGGTTATCCTAAAAGTTTAAGCTATAGAGAACAATACATGACTCGTGTATTTATTTCATCAATGAGGCCCCTCCAATATGATCTTTTTTTGCATGATTGGGTCAATCATGCCCGTAAATGATTTATCTTATCAAGGAAGATATTGAGATTGATAAAGATCTTACCTGCTATAACACTGTCAAAAACCAGTTACTCTGAAGTCAACTTCCCAGAGAGATAGAGAAGAAAATCATTGAATACCACATTGCCATTGCCATTTCTCAAAAGAGTCTGAACTCAAAATATAAATTATTTCCGGTCTAAAGTTCTCAAATTTGTGACTAATATGTCTTTGTAAGAAAACTCTTCGGAACTTCATGACTAATATCATGATTAAATGATTCCATACCTATTGGATCAACACGGATATGCTAGAAAGGGAACTGGCATTAATAGGTCAATAACTGTTTGTAAGTTACTAAATACTCTGTTTCAGTAATTAGTAATTAGAATAGGACACTAAAATGGGTGGAAAAAGGTACATAACATCATAAAAAGGAAACAGTGTTGTCAAAAAATTACATGCAATAGATCACAAAACCCTCAAATACAATGATCACAACTTCAATAAAAGAGAGTTTTTGATTTATCAAAAAAAAAAAAAGAGAGTATTTGATTCATTAGCACTTTTGCATGTTTATTTCTCTTGATTTTGATATTTTAAAATAATAAGTCAAACAAATGGGTCATCAAAAATCACATTAAATCCTCCATGTAACTTCCAAATATTTCCAGACCCAAACAAGGAAATAAAATTAATTTCAGAAAATGAAAGGAAACAGTGTTGTCAAAAAATTACATGCAATAGATCACAAAACCCTCAAATACAATGATCACAACTTCAATAAAAGAGAGTTTTTGATTTATCAAAAAAAAAAAAAGAGAGTATTTGATTCATTAGCACTTTTGCATGTTTATTTCTCTTGATTTTGATATTTTAAAATAATAAATCAAACAAACGGGTCATCAAAAATCACATTAAATCCTCCATGTAACTTCCAAATATTTCCAGACCCAAACAAGGAAATAAAATTAATTTCAGAAAAGGGAAGAAACATGCTTAAAATGGGTAAGAAACAAGAGTCAAATGAGTCTAGATCTACCCCAAGGCTGCTCATAAGCCCTCCTATATTTGTTTAATATCTGAGCTTTAGAGTACTCAACCCCATATTTCTCATCAATCTGTCTGTAAATCTGTAACCCAAATACATCACAACACAAAAAGCAATCAGAGAAAAAAAAACCCCAATAAATGTACATAAAGATTTTGAATTCCAACAATTCTAGAGAGAAAGAAAGGATGCCTGGTCCATGGGTTGAGAGGGAACAACAAGTGTGCCAACAGCATCAGCATACCATCTATTAGAAAAATATGATTAATCGGATATGTGTAACACCATGATCATGCTGTCATTAATTATTCTAATTGTTTTTTTTTTTTTAAACATAAATATGATTTTGTTATGAAGTTACAAATATCTAATTAGTTTGCTTTTTTATTTTTATTTTATGGATGATTCACTTGATGAACCTTACAACATGAACATTGAACTATTGAAATAAGTTTAATACACGTCCCCCGGGGGGGTCCTCACCGCATGGTGCTGCACAGCACCTACCCCACTCTCGTAAAATGGTTAGTAACATCTTACAAGTTTTGGTGACCTTCAGAGAGAATAAAAGACTAACCTGTAGACAGAGCAAACAACAACTGTCTGAAGCCTGGATGAAAATTGGGAGTTGCACAATAAGTGAGCACACAGTTTCCTATATTCTGAAATAGTTCGACAACATTTGATTTGTCACATTTCTCTAAGACTGTGTTTGGATCATGTACATGGATATCATGGATTTGGAAAGAAAAATAAAAAAAAGTGAGTAAAATGTAAATGAAATATAGTTACATTTCATTTATATTTCACTTACCTTTTCCTTTCCAAATTCTTCCTCAAATCCATAAAACATAGTCTTAGTTCACCGATAACATTGAGAATTTTATCATTGAGGGGGTAGAAGAACAAAATTAAGAACACGTCAAGAACATGTAGACATTTTATTCATCCTTATGAAATGATGAAATTCGTAGATTATTGATACCATGAATTCCATCATGATTTGGATATATCGCAAGTCCATTCAAAACAATAAAACAGTGCTTTCAACATGAAAAGTCGACTCCAACCCTAGAGAATCAGAGAGCACCCCATCCACCACCACCGGGAGTTAGAATTTGAAGAATTTCACCAACCTTCACCTCAATTGTGTTTTTACCCCCAAGGTACACTCTTCGCTTATCCTTCGTAACAAGGTAATTCATTCCCCGAGCTCCATTCTTTCCACCCTTCAACCCTCTTGGTGCATGAACACGCCTCTCCGAAAGAATGCTCACAACAACGGGGCGCCTGAATTCTATCTCTCTCACAAGCCCCTCACCGCCTCTATGTATTCCATCACCTCCACTGTTCTCTCGTAGTCCAAATTTATGCAAAAGAACCGGATATCTCTGCTCAAAGATCTCCGGATCAGTCATACGAGTGTTAGTCATATGGCACTGAACACCACTGGTACCTTCCCAGGTGGGTCCAGCTCCACTTCCACCTCCAATTGTTTCGTAGTACCCAAAAGTGTCATCCCCAAAAGTGAGATTATTCATGCAACCCTGAGAACAAGCACAAGCCTGAAATGCAGTAAGTACAACATCGGTAATCCTCTGAGAAGTCAGAACATTACCTCCCACGACAGCAGCTTTATCACTTGGAGAGAGGAATGAACCAACGGGGATGTGGATTTTCACGGGAGCCAAACAACCTTGATTGAGGGGAATGTCAACATTCACCAAACAGCGGAGGCAGTAAATGACCGCTGCAGCTGTTACTGCTTCCGGTGCATTCCAGTTCCCACAAACCTCTGGGCTGGATCCAGAAAAATCAAACACCGCTTCCCCATTTATAGGATCGATGGATAGTTTCAGACGTATCACGGAACCATCATCCATGTAATCTTCCTCTTCAATGATCAGAGAATCTCTTTTTCCCAACTTGGCTGCTTCAGAAGAAACTCTGGCTGCGACTGACTTGAGCATTTCTCTCACTGCTTCTTCTGCATTACCCTGCACGTAGTTCATATAAGCTTGAACCGTGTCCAAACCGTACTGCTCGATAAGCTCTTTAATAAGATAAATTCCTCTCTGGTTTGCAGCTACTTGTGCTCGAAGATCTGATAAGTTATCTTGAATCCTACGGCTTCCTGGAATGTTATGACCTGATTCGTCAGAACACGGGAATTTGAGAAGTTTGATAATCTCTTCTTCTTGAAAAATCCCCTTTTCCACAAGCTTGAATGCTTTAATGGCAGCTCCTTCTTCCCATATGAACTTTGAAAAAGGAGGCATACTTCCCGGGGTAATGCCCCCAATCTCCGCATGATGCCCTCTACTTGCCACAAAGAATACCAAATTCCCATTATTGAAAACAGGTGTAATTACAGTTATATCAGGTAGGTGGCTACCTCCTGCAGAAGGATGATTAGTTACCAAAACATCTCCTTCAAACAAATTGTCGGCCCAGAACTTGAGCTGCCACCGGATGGTACTTGACATAGCCCCCAAGTGCACGGGAACATGGGGGGCATTGGCAACTAACCCTCCATCAGGACCAAAGAGAGCACAAGAGAAATCTAGCCTTTCCTTGATATTAGTTGATATGGAAGTCCTCTGTAGGGTCCGTCCCATCTGCTCAGCTATACCCATAAACCTGTGATTGAAGATCGAGAGCTGCACGACATCTGCAACCTTTTCTGCTAGTTTCACTGTGTTTGTTGTTGACTCAATTTCAATTTTGATGTTGCCATATTTGGTAATTATAGCCTTACAGTTAGGTTCTACTATCACGGTACTATTACCATTCATGATGATTGCAGGGCCAGGCATGACATGCCCGTAACCGAGATCCTCAAGCTTGAAAAGAGGCGTCTCGTGCCATCCATTCTCAAAGTAAACCTTGTAGTGACCTTTAGCTTTTGGGATACCAGGGGCAGGTTCCAGGGCCCGCGGCTTCAAAATATTGGTGACTCCAATACCACGAACCCTTACATCACATATAAGGAGATTCCTATTCTGTAATTTGAATCCATACTCCTGCTGGAACAGCTTTACAAATTCAACAGCATAATCTCCTCCCAAGCCATCTTCATTTATTTGTTTCTTTACCATGATGGCAGTGTCTGTACCCTCATATCTCAAGTTTAAATATGTTTCGGTCGTAATGTTTTCCTCTTTGAACCCTTGGTCTTGTAATTTTTGCTTTACCTGCTTCAACAAAAGAGCTTCTCTATGAGAAGCCTCTTGAACAGATTCAAGGTTATAAACAGCAGAATATGGCTCCTGTGCTTCCTCGATTACATCAGCCAATCCCATTCCATACGCACTTAAGATTCCACAGAACCTGTGAATTAATACCTCTTTCATACCCAGTGACCTAGCAATAGCACAGGCATGTTGTGGCCCAGCACCTCCAAAGCAAGCAAGAGCATGGTTTCTTGTCTCATGGCCCTTCATCTCGGTTAATTGTCGTATTGGACGGCACATTGTTTCATTAGCAACATTCACAAATCCCTGTGCAATCTCCTCCACTGTCATATCCTCTGCTGATTGATCCTGACTCTTTCGATAGGAATTAATCTGCTTTGCAAGCTTCTCTAAATCTTCTCTGGTTGCCTTGATATCTAAAGGTTGATCTTCGTTGGGTCCAAAGATTGATGGGAAATAATCAGGAATTACAAATCCCAGAATAAGATTTGCATCAGTAACAGCCAAGTCACCCCCTTTCCGATAACATACGGGACCCGGGTGTGCACCCACTGATTCGGGTCCCACCCGGAAAGCTCCAAATTGGAACTTTAACTTCGACCCGCCACCAGCAGCAACAGTGTTTATGTCGAGCTGAGGAGCTTGAATTATAGCTCCAGCGATCTGGGTTTCTAAAACTTGTTCATAGCTTCCTGCATATCTGCTAACATCAGTAGATGTACCACCCATGTCGAACCCAATGAGGGGCTTTTCTGTTTCAAGCCCAAAGAGAGTCTGTGAGTAACCAACAACACCACCTGCAGGACCTGACAAAACTGCTTTGTGGCCAGAAAATCTACTTTCTGGTGCAAGTCCTCCATCTGATTGCATAAACAAAACATTCACTTTCCCAAGCCCTTCGTCAAATTTGGATATGAACCCCGATAAGTACTCTTTGATAACTGGAGTGAGGTACGCATCCACACTAGCCGTTAGACCCCGAGGAACAGCGCGAACCATGGGGGTCAAAGCAGAAGATAAAGAAACATGTCTAAAGCCCAAACTCACAGCTAACTTCTCTACAGATACTTCATGTTGTGGGTAAGTGTAGGAATGCATTAACACCACAGCTAAACAGCTAATACCTTTCTCCAACAGACCTTTCAGCAAAGTCTTCAGAGCTTCTTCATCAAGTGGCTTCACAACCCTGACAAACTCACCTGAAACCCCCTTAACTAGTGATGCAGAAGTATCTGGGTTTCCTTCCTCCATGTTCATAACAAGCTCAACTCTCTCATCAACCTCTATAACCTCTTCATAAAGATTAGAGGGTTTTGAAACTGTGAGGTCGAAAATATTTGGGCGAGCTTGATTACCAATCTGCAACAGATCCCTAAAGCCTCGAGTCACACATAGCGCAATCCTCTCTCCTTTTCTCTCCAATAATGCATTTGTTGCCACAGTTGTACCCATCCTTATCCATTCTATCTTATCTGTGGGAATTTTCGAAGTCCGGGGAATTTTCTCACCAGTAAATTCTTCCAAAATCCTCCGGATTCCTTCAATGGGAGCATCATCGTAGTTAGATGGATCAACAGACAACAGCTTCATAACTCTGCCTGCAGACTGACCTGGAATTTCAGCATAAACATCTGTGAATGTTCCCCCTCTATCAATGCAAAACCTAAGTTTCTCTCCACTGATACTCCCCATTCCTCTGATCAATGCTCAGAAAACAAAATTTGATGCTGGTCCTCAAGTGCAATGACTGCCTTAGGTATTTTGAAGCAAATAGTCAAGATATGAAAACCTGAAAATAAAGCAAAAGAAAAGATTAACCACTATGGCCCCGTTTGTTTTCCGCACTAGCAGTCCACTCTGGACTGTTAGTGATGAACAGTAAAAGTAGCTTATGTTTGTTTTGGTTTTTGAACTTCGGATTCGTAGTCCCTTTGGCTTACGATAGGCCTTAGGCAACGGATTAGCAGTCTGGGCTGGGAGGTGGTATTAAAAATTACTCCGTTCGGATTGGGTGTTACCGGTCGTCCGCCTGGAAGTCTAGCCGGTCAACCGGTCAACTGTAATTTTTATTTTTTTTTATAACTTGTGCATTTTTTTTTAAACATTAATGTTTAATGCTTTTGTATTTTTTGTCAAGTAAAAATCATAAGTTTATTTGTTTTATTATTTTATATAAAAATAATTTAACAATCCCCACAGTAACACCTATCATCAAAACAAACACAATTTTACTAATCACCTCACTAACAATCTTCTCACTATTAAACCCCTCACTATCAATCCCCTCCATTCTACTTCTGAAAACAAACGGAGCCTATGATCATTCAGATGTAAATGACCAAGTAATCTGTATCAACATATAAAATGTGCCTCGTAATAGAAAATTAATGCCATTGATACATTGATTTTGAAAGAATAGAAATGAATACTAGTTATGGTGTGAACAATGTAAATTATAATCTACAAAAGGGGAAATGTTAATGAAACCACACAATATAATCTACTGCTTACTTCGAACCAAGAAACAACCCAGTAAACAAAGGCAAATAATTCCAGATAAATTTGGTATATGCTTGAATTTTGCATTTACAACAGCTATATGGAAAAATCTCATTTCTCTGCCAGGACAGTGCAAGCAACCAAAGAAGGTTTACAAACATTAACTAATGACTGTCCAATAAAATGGCTGAGAAGAAGACACACTAACTATTGACAAAAACTAACAAGGTCAAATATTCAGACTGATATGTAGTAACTGATTACATACAAAAAACAAATGGATTCAAAACCACAACTGACGAGCAATAACTTGATCTAATCTTATAAGGAAAAATGTCTATTCATCACCTTAAGAATTATTTCTATAGCAATAGCTTATTTAGATAGGGACAACTCCACTTTTTATTTTGTGAATCAATTGGTTTGGAGGACACTTGTATAGTGTGAAAGTTTTCTAGAAAGTTTGTGGAACTAACAATCAGATGGAGGGTAAGCAAATTACAAATCTAAAGAGTTGCAGATCTCAAGATAGAACTAAGAACTTGAGAGAAGAAAATTCAAACAAGTGAATGATAAACATGTGACATTTGTTTAATCTCAAGAGTAAACTTTGAGTGCTAGAGTTCCCGCAAATTACCTACCAAAGAGTGGTTTTCGAATTCTCGTAAATGTTAATTGTGGAATACCACAATATACCTACTCCATTTATTGAAAACAAAGCAAAGAATAGACACACTTTGACTCCAACCAGACTCATTGAAGTTCCATTAGCTACAACAGAAAGTGAAATAATTTAGGGAGCTTAATTTCCCTCAACAAATTTCTCTCTAAACATTTTACTCTACACTTTTAACCACTTATCTATATTTGTACGAATTAACAACTTTATTCAAACTGACTAATTACTTACCCTAATGTTTGGTAGAATATTGTTAATTCAAGGAATCATTATAGCAGAAGTACAGCATCACTAGCTAACACCTTGAATAGCATCTGCTAAGTCCCGACACTACCAAAGGAGGAAGGTCGAGGGCTGAAGTCTCAAATGGGCTATGGGGTGTGTTTTTCACTCATCATGCATGTATGTCTGTCCCATTATAAAGCAAAGGCTAGAGTTGGTGTAGATTGGAATTGCCTAGAGTAGTTACCAAAAGTTGGGAATTACCTGGAACAGTTACTAACCCTATCAAACTATTTAATGGATTACTGTTAGATCTAACTGATTCACACACGTGGTGTGTGCAGAACTTCAAGTATATATATACAATAAGTGTAAAAAAAATTAATCTTATACCCTCTGTAACTTATTGTATGTCTCACATTTTGCAACAGTAACCGTTGGATTACACGCTCCTCTTATGAACTTCATGCTTACCAATTTTCAAGTTATTTGAATTTCAAGAGATACCCAATCCATACACTTATATCTTAATGTGTAATATACCACTCTAAATCAGTCACAAGGTTCAAGAAATCGCCTTACCATAAAATATAACTCTTTTTCATATGGTTCAGACATCAAAATAAAATATCTAACTCATAATAATCACAAACCCAACATACATACAAGTTGAATCATCACCACCCAAAATGATAAAAAAACAAGTGCCAAACCTCATTTATCTATGAGGTAGTAAGCACCATACATTTATCTATGAGGTGTAAGTGCCAAACCTCATTTATCCATGAGGTAGTAAGCACCATACATTTGTCTATGAGATGTAAATGATAAATCCTCATATACAAGTCCTCGTTAGAAGTTCCCAGAAAGTGAAGAAACTAAGTGCTGCTTTTTAATTTAAACAAAACCAGCATAGACATAGGCAAACTTAAGAGAGTACAAAAGCAAAAGTAGCAGTACCTAAAACAATACTACAAACCCACTCTTATCAACCCAGAATTTACCCAGAAAAATAAATCAATGGCTCAGATTCATTTCATATGTGGACCCCACGCATCATCAATTCAATCTTTACCGCACAAACACATTCCGGGTAAATTCGGGGTCCTTAAGGGTGGGTTCATAACATTTTTCATAGCTAAAAAGGACAACGGATGATATCTAACGGCAACCATCTACCTGAAAATTACTTGTTTCGTTTATAAATATAATTTACTGTTTGTCCTATAATCAAACAATAATATCATTTCTCTTAGAATTTTCAACAAACACCCACAACCCATGAATACAAAATTCACACAAATAAATCAAAACTTGCTAACTATGCTAAAAAAAAAAAAAACAAAACAAACCCGGACAACAAAGAGCAATATCTGAAGAATGTTCAAAGCCCCAATGCAATCAAAGCCAATGAAGAACCCAAAAAAATTAAAAATAAAATAAAAAATGAAGTTCTTTAAGTTCTAAAAGAACCCAAAAACACATGAATGGCTACTGAATCTCTGATTTGTAATGTTCTTTTATATTAAAAATTGAACTACAAAAAGACAGACCCAATAGCTGTAAAAGTAATTGGAGTGACTACAAGCAAATGGGTACGAGTATTTTGAGCATATATGAAGAGACTAATCTCAGAAACCTGCAAAAAAAAAACTTAGAAGAATAAATCGAATGGAGTATGTAGCGAAGAGAGGTTACCTCGAGCTGAGAAAGCTCGAAAAGATCACTGGTTTGGCATTGAATTAAAGTTTGGATATCCTTCGTTTTATATAGCAATCAGATGAATCAGTGATGGGGATGGGAATTGAGATTGGGGTGGTTTCGTGAGCAACTTTTTGGCTGACTTGGCAACAGATACTAATAATAATTCAATAGTAGTAGTATATCTCATAATAATTCTCAATAAAAAGCGTTGGAGATGTCGCGAACTTACCATAAAATATAACTCTTTTTCATATGGTTCAGACATCAAAATAAAATATCTAACTCATAATAATCACAAACCCAACATACATACAAGTTGAATCATCACCACCCAAAATGATAAAAAAACAAGTGCCAAACCTCATTTATCTATGAGGTAGTAAGCACCATACATTTATCTATGAGATGTAAGTGCCAAACCTCATTTATCCATGAGGTAGTAAGCACCATACATTTGTCTATGAGATGTAAATGATAAATCCTCATATACAAGTCCTCGTTAGAAGTTCCCAGAAAGTGAAGAAACTAAGTGCTGCTTTTTAATTTAAACAAAACCAGCATAGACATAGGCAAACTTAAGAGAGTACAAAAGCAAAAGTAGCAGTACCTAAAACAATACTACAAACCCACTCTTATCAACCCAGAATTTACCCAGAAAAATAAATCAATGGCTCAGATTCATTTCATATGTGGACCCCACGCATCATCAATTCAATCTTTACCGCACAAACACATTCCGGGTAAATTCGGGGTCCTTAAGGGTGGGTTCATAACATTTTTCATAGCTAAAAAGGACAACGGATGATATCTAACGGCAACCATCTACCTGAAAATTACTTGTATCGTTTATAAATATAATTTACTGTCTGTCCTATAATCAAACAATAATATCATTTCTCTTAGAATTTTCAACAAACACCCACAACCCATGAATACAAAATTCACACAAATAAATCAAAACTTGCTAACTATGCTAAAAAAAGAAAAGAAAAACAAACCCAGAAAACAAAGAGCAATATCTGAAGAATGTTCAAAGCCCCAATACAATCAAAGCCAATGAAGAACCCAAAAAAATTAAAAATAAAATAAAAAATGAAGTTCTTTAACTTCTAAAAGAACCCAAAAACACATGAATGGCTACTGAATCTCTGACTTGTAATGTTCTTTTATATTAAAAATTGAACTACAAAAAGACAGACCCAATAGCTGTAAAAGTAATTGGAGTGACTACAAGCAAATGGGTACGAGTATTTTGAGCATATATGAAGAGACTAATCTCAGAAACCTGCAAAAAAAAAAACTTAGAAGAATAAATCGAATGGAGTATGTAGCGAAGAGAGGTTACCTCGAGCTGAGAAAGCTCCAGAAGATCACTGGTTTGGCATTGAATTAAGGTTTGGATATCCTTTGTTTTATATAGCAATCAGATGAATCAGTGATGGGGATGGGAATTGAGATTGGGGTGGTTTCGTGAGTAATTTTTTGGCTGACTTGGCAACAGATACTAAATAATAATTCAATAATAGTAGTATATCTCATAATAATTCTCAATAAAAAGCGTTGGAGATGTCGCGAACGTTCACCGAATCATTGATGCAATTTCGACTGTCTTCATCTCTATAATTCATGGAAAAAATAACATTTTGCATCTCAAACTATCTCAAACTATCATTTAATAGGGCAAATTAATGAAATTACAAAAATTTCTTATGAAGTTTTTGAAATGACTTAAATTTGGATATTGGGTTTATAAATTTAAATTTATTTATTTTTAATTTAAAGTTTCACACGTTGCCTTCGTTTGGTATGTCAATTTTTTTGATTTTTTAACTATTTTAGTTATAAGAAGACAAAATAAACTTTTTAACTTCAAGTTATAATTATTTTATTTTTTCTTTTAAAAAAGTCAAAAAAGTCAAAAATTTTATCTAAAATAAGATTTTTTAACCTCAAACTACAAAAGTTAAAAAGCCAACCACATTCCAAACGAACCCGTTAAAATATTATATCCGCTTTTATAAAATGACCAAAATATCCATATGCATGTATATATATAGTGAGTGTTTGGAAAGTGAGTTTTTTTAGTTATAGAATATTATTGGAGAATTTTTTTTTTATGTTTAGAAAGATAGTTATGTTTTTTTGTGATTGAATGTGATATTTATGAGATAAAAAAATGAAATGATTATGAGATTTGATGTGATATTTTGTTTGAATTTATTTTTTTCAATTTTGTAATCAATTTGTTTTTTATGAAAAAAAATCTTTCCCAAACACTCCCATAGTACACCTCTCTTCTCTTCTCACCTCAACTTTCTATTTTCCCAAGCCCTCTCTTTCTCTACGGATTTCTCGAGCTCCACCGCCCTTCTCTCTCTCTCTCTCTCTTATTGTTTGCTTCAGCGACGACCACGTCTTCTTTCCTAGGTTCTATATAGACCAGTCAACAAATTGGGTTTGACATGGATCCGACTTAAATCCGATCCGCTTAAACCAATTTGTTTACGAAAATTCGAATCCGATAATTCGCTTAACCCAAATCCGCCACATCAGAATTTAAATGGATCGGATTTGAATAAATCAATTTCGGTCTGTTTGTGTACCTAAATCTGATATTATAGTCCATTTGAGAAGTAAAACAGTTGCCCTAGAAAGATCAAAACACTTGTCTCTTTCATGTGATTTCTCTAGAGATCAATTCATTGAATCACCACCCAAGATTTCTCTAGAGATTGACTCGTCGAATCACTATGATCATCATCTACAATTTTGTTGCTCATCGTCGAATCATCTACAATTTCTTTAAGTTTAATCATCATCGAATCACCATCTTCGATTGTGACTCAAATTCTTGAGACTTTGAAGCAAGTGCAACTTTCAGAGTCAGTCATAAAAAATCTATCCATTTTTCGTAATCAGTAATTTTCTATGAATTCCATTACTTTTCCCAATATTAGGGTGTTAGTTTAACTGGGTTTTAGTTTTAATGAAATGCGTTTGGCTATATATTGATTGTTCTCAAGTGGGTTTGTTATAGTTATGATAAATTTGAAGTGAGTTTTACTGCTTGTGATTATTGTTGAGTGGGCTTGATCAGTTTGTGTGTGTGCGTGTAATACCGCTCGGGGGTTATCTGTGTGCGTTAACAGCTTGGACCCTCAATTTCTCAGATCTAGTCTCACGAGTGTAATGTGAAATGTAAATGGGAGTCCATATTTGGTAACTTTTAGAAAAAAAAATTTTATTGCAAAAATTTTTTTTTTTGCCAAAAATAGATTGCGTCATCAGATCTCAGAGTCACCACCTAATATTTATTTTAGGAGAATTAGGAAATCCGTGCCTTGTGCCAAGGCCACTATTCGTCGTAACCAATGATGCTTGGCTCAGAACTTTAGATATGAAAAGGGAAAGTCATTAATTGAGCACCCCCACTCACCCGATCAAAAGATCGAGCTTTACTAACCATGATATGAGTTTGATTAACCTTACATGTTCATATTCCGATTATTTAGTAAATCCTAAAATTTACTATGTGAAGCAAACAAATATAGATTGTGCTGTCCATTTTGGAACGATTTGATTTCATTATTTCAAAAAGGTTTTGAATAGTGCAATCATAAAAATCAATTTTATTCCAACTTAAATAACACAACCTTCACTCACTAGCATGCATAGAGGTATATCAAATAAGCAATTAGCCACATGGTAGGATGCTAGACATAGTAAAAAAAAATGCAAAGGTGGGATGCTAAAACTATAAATGTTTACCCAATATTTATTTATGGCAAGCCAAAAATATTATGTCATGTACATATGCATGATCCTATATACAAAGATCTAATGCAATACATACACAGAATGCAACTAAAGATCTGGCTACTAACATTTTATGTATGAATCATCTCAAGGCATGAATTAACGTACAAAGGCACATAAGATTTGATAAAACTCATAGATGAAATTGGTCGAATCCTAATGCATAAAAAAATGGATGCAAGTCATCAATATGATAAATAAAACATGATGCAATGTGTATACATAAAGCACATAAATAAAAGAGATAGAAAGGTGTGGGATTGAAAGATTATTACAAGTCGAATAAGAAAATAGGGGGGGAGAGAGAGAGAGAGATTATTACAACACCTTGAATGAATAATAAAAGAAAGAAGAGAGAATGAAGAAATTATTATAACAATGAATTGATTCAGCCCAATTACTACTGAATTTAAAAAATCATACTAGATAAATAAAAGAATTTGACTAGCAGTTCCAAAAACAACTAGGAGAGCATTCCCCAGAAGCTGTTTGCTCTGTTCTTGGAAATATCATCCGGCTAGATACAAAATGAACTGGCCGAACAGGAAATTGGCCGGCCAAATTCCTCTTCTGGTCGAGATTTAGATCTGTCCAGAAAGTCCAGAACACAAGCTAAGAACCTGTTTCGAGGGGTGCCATCTCCTCTACCTCCTCCACTTATAGAAATCACTTAGCGAAGAAGTAGATGGGCCTCAACCATTAACAATATCATAAACAGATATATACAATAGATATTTTACAATGATTTATCAAAACAAGATCAAATTCAAGCTTAAGAAATAGATGGGAGCCTACATCATCTTTTTGTGAATAAGGGCAAATTAATACCTAAATACATGCTATTAATTGAAGAGAGTATATTAATGCACATCATTTCTTAGTGGAAGCTTTGCTTTAAAAGTAAGAAATTTATCAAAGGCTATTGAAAACTCCTCTTCTACTCACGGATAAAAGATGTTTCCATCCCTTTCCATGTTCGAAATGGGTTGAAAATAGAGTTTGCAACATCTTTGACCCAAAATTTCTTACTTTATTTCCAAGAAATATCAACCAAAGTAAAAACCAACAATTTTCCTAATCATCAAATCCCAAGAATCATCCTGATGACTCCATATAACAACCATAACTTCTCATTAAATTGAGTATGGATTGAAGCATATGAGCCAACATGCTTGAATGATGAGATAGGTGATAAGAAAGTTATGAAAATGAAAGAAACTAAACTACATAATCAAATTTGTGGATGGGTGGCGCTTTCTACTCCCTCCACATCTACAAGGTTCCAATTTACACATCTCTATATAACAACAATGAGCTATAGCACTAGAATGCAAGAAAAGTGTACAAAATCACAAGAAACTAAAGAAAAAAATCAACTCAATGGATGTGTCTCTACATCCTAGTTCCCTTCACATCCATGAGGATCCATCACATGATTACAACAAGTTAATAGTGAAATACAGAGCTTAGAGATAAAGAAAGAACGAGAGAAAATGATAAAATGATTAATAAATAAATAAATAAATAAAAAGTTTCAACTCTTATATTTTCAAAGCAAGGAAGAGTTTTTTATTACCAAACTTACTTCCAAACGCCCTCAAGGTCCTTGGATATGGCTTGAACAGTTAGCAAGGAGCTTCAAGATCAAGCTTTAATGGAATTTAGGTGGTGAATGTAGGAGGGAGAGGTGGAGAAGTTGTAAGCTTTTGAGTTCAAGGTATAAACCTCTGAAAAATGATTTGCCAACTTTTCTAAAACAAATTTTCAACCCTTCACAATGAAGAGGGGATGTGTATATATAGACTTTTTGAAGCAAAAAAATATTTAAGATATTTTGGGAAAGATGTTTGTGGAAACAAATATCTAATATATTTGTGGAGACAAAATATCTAAGCTAGTTGTGGAAGATATTTGCGGAGGCAAAATATCTCCGAAAATATCTCTGAAAAATATCTCTGAAAAATATCTTTGAAAAATATCTCTGAAAAATATCTTACGTGCATGGAAGCTAAAAGAAAAATATCTAGGTATTTGTGCAAATCTTATAGAGGAAGCTAAATGTGAAAATATCTTAGATATTTGAAGAAAAAGCCGAAATTTTCGAAAATGTTCTATACTCGGACAATTCAACTGGTTGTACCATTATTCATCTGGCTGACTACATTTTGTATCTAGCCATAAATTGTTGAACGGCCATATAAAAAATACATTGTTAGATCAATAGGGTAAAGTTAACATGATTTGATAGGAGAAATAGGTATTTCAGAGGATTTCATCCTTTCCATTCATTCCCACTATATCCCCTGCTCGATCTGCTAAAAAAGTCAACATTTGAAGTTTGAAAAGGCAAGCCTCAAAACATTCTAGAAATGTTTGAAATTGTGCAACCAAAAGATTTTTTAAGAAAACAAAGGTCAAAAATTGTTTGGTCAAAACAGGTGTAAGGTTGGGATTAAAGCTTGCACCTGGCTCTCCTGTTAAGGAATTTGTAAAATAGCACATTCCAACTTTCATCATCAGGTGTTTGGAACAAAGCACCCAAGTCTTAAGACCGGTCAAAATGAGGTGTCTACAACGGCCCAATTATTATTATATTATATAAATTCTAGGAATATTATCGGTTGGTTCTGCATGATTTATTTACTCTTAAATCATGAGTAAAAAATTAATGGACATTTAAATTTTGTGAATGAAAAGTTTATCAATGTAACTTATTCACTTTTACTTTTGTTTATGTGTAGTTTTATTCATTACACTAATATATTTATCTGGTTATGTTTGGCAAGTGGCAGATATAGCAAAAAAGTCATTAAAAGGTCAAAAAGTCTGTACGAGGAGCGAATATTCA